CCGGCATCCGAGCCGTACGGAAAATCACACCCTGCTTTGGGAACGACGACGTTTTCTGCGATTGGACAGAGAACAACACCTATTTGTCCTTTCGCCGGTGGTATTCCACGAACCAGATTTTGCCCGACGGAAGAATCATCATCGTCGGCGGAAGAAGAGCATTCACGTACGAGTTTTACCCCAAGAATCCGGATAAACCCATCTTCAATCTCGGATTCTTGGCCGAAACCAGAGACCCGCTCGAAGAGAACAATCTTTACCCGTTTCTTCATCTTCTTCCCAATGGGAATCTCTTCGTCTTCGCCAACAGGAGATCCATCATGCTCGATTTCGTCAACCACAGCGTCGTCAAGGAGTTCCCGGATATTCCCGGCGGTGGCAAACGGAACTACCCGAGTACTGGCTCCTCTGTTCTCCTCCCTCTTTGGCTCGCCGGAGAAACCCAGCCCACTACCGCCGAGATCATGATCTGCGGCGGCGCTCCAACGGGATCCTTCCTCAAGGCGGCAAAGACGATCCCTAAAGTCTTCGTCGAAGCGTCACGCACGTGCGGAAGAATCAGGGTCACCGACCCGGATCCAAGATGGGTCATGGAGAAGATGCCGGCGCCACGTGTCATGCCCGACATGATAATGTTACCGACAGGTGACGTCGTCATCATCAACGGCGCTGCCAACGGAACCGCCGGTTGGGAGGATGCCACGAACGCCGTGCTGAACCCGGTTCTGTATTCACCCGACGAACCCGACCTGACCCGGAGATTCCAGATCCTCGCCCCCACCCGGATCCCGAGGATGTACCATTCGGCGGCTCTTCTGTTGCCCGACGGAAGAATCTTAGTCGGAGGGAGCAATCCTCACCGTAATTACAATTTCACGGCGAGGCCGTACCCGACAGAGCTCAGCCTCGAAGCTTATCACCCGCGTTACCTCGAACCCCGGTTCGCGCGCGTGAGGCCTTCGGTTCTGACGGTGGAGATGGCAGGAAAGATGTCGTACGGAAACGGATTCTCTGTAAATTTTGTGATTCCGGCGTACGGAGTGTACGGAGGAGGGATATCTGTACGGCTTATAGCGCCGTCGTTTAGCACTCACTCGACGGCGATGAACCAAAGGCTGTTGGTGCTGCGCGTGAGGCGCGTGGTACAGTTATCCGTTTTCGCGTACAAGGCTGACGTGGACGGGCCAGCCAATGCCAATGTGGCACCCCCGGGATATTATATGCTGTTTGTGGTCCACCGTGGAATTCCCAGCGAGGCCGTTTGGGTCAAAGTAGCTTGACTCTGATAATTACGACGACGTTTTGGCTTTATTTTGATTTTTTTTTTCCTTCCTATTTTGAAAGGTTTCAGTCATAGAGAAGAAATGTGAACACTTAGTAGAGAAATTTGATCGTTGATAATTCACACGCATAAAAAAAAGTGTTGAGAGAGATTCTTTATGTTGGTTATTTTTTTTTAATCCCATGATATGTCCAATAATTTCACCAAAAAATAGCGTATTTTCGTCTATCAACGAAATGGGGGTGATACGTAACGAACAATATTTTTGGGGCTAAATCCCGAACATTTGGTAAAGACGGGTTCATTACTGAATTAGAGAAAATACTTTACTCGCCGACATAAAAAGATGCGGCCCATTTGTTACCAATCACGTGGAACGCCGTGTGGGCCATTTACGGCCTATCATACGATCATGAGTACACCAGGTTCGACAAGAAATCCGAAAGGGGTTCGGATTTTATTATTTTCCAACAAGCTATCCTTGAGGTACAATATATTTAAAAAGCTACTAAAAAAACTCTGATTTTCTACGTATTTTACAAAAATACATTGGCATATTTTCATATAAAATTATCTATATACCAATAAAATCAACACAGAACTTTTTCACATGTTTTTGAAATAATACTTCCAAAAAAAAAAACACTCCGTAAGACCAATGCCAAGAAAAGATGTCCTAAAAAATCCGGACATGTGACCCGCAGTCACCCCTTGTCACGCCTGAGTGGTCAAGTTTGTAATAGATAAGGCTCGAGTAACTTTATAGGATTCTAAAACGATCTATGTTCTTTTATAGGATTTTTTTTTGAAGTTAAAAAATCCAAAAAAAAAAAAAAGCAAAACTATAGGAAATTAGAATCCATGAAAGAAACCCATTGGAAATGCTTAATTCGGATGAAAACAAAACGTGTACTCACTCGTTCCGGATGGAGAGGAACTTCTCCCACAGAGGCCGAGATTTTTGCATCTCAGCCATTAGGTTCTTGAACTTGGGGCTGTAGTCTGCTCCGCTGTCCGAATTATTATTGTTGTTTAAAAAAAAAAAAATCGTCAGAATCAAAATCAGACAGAGATGTGTGGAGAACAAATAGAAAGAGAAACCTGATTCGATCCAAGGAGGAGATGGCGCGTAGGGCGCTTCTGATCATGTCTTCATTGCGGTCATGCTCTTGCTTCACTGCATCTGCCTTTGGCTTGAAATTCACCGTCTTTTGCAGAGGTTCCGCCAGGGAATCCAGCACTGAGTGACAACAACATTGTGGTTGTTTTAATCTTTGTCATATTCAACAGAAGCGAAATCTAACGACGGTTTGTTTATTCAATTCACCTACCCGCTAATACAGCCGAGGGGCATTTTTCTGCGAGTATCGAGAGGATGAGGTGGCAAAGCATCTTCAAATCGTAATGATCTGTGCCCGACCCGAGAAAGTAATATCAGACATACACCTTATATGTCATTGTGAAAAAGCAAAACGAGACGGGCACACTCACCTTCCAGTCCCGATTTAAGGTGAGGAACGACGAAAGAAGACGGATTTACTTGATCACGACAACTGTCTAGTAACGTGAATACGCACTCGAAAGCCGCTTTCCGTAGCTCAAGCCCATCATCAACAACGTGCTTGAATGGTCCAAGATCAACTGTTCGTATTAACTCTTTCTGCAAGTCAAAGAGTGTTCATGCCAAACTAAATGCTGATGCCATAGTGTACACAATTGTTAAAGAAAATAAATGTCAAGGCTACCGAAAGGGCTTTACCCTGACAACCGTTTGATCATAAAGAAGTGGTAATAGTCCAGGAAGCAGTCCTTTGATAAGGTTTGGTTTATAGTGAGCAAAAGTACTCAGAGCCGACACAGCTGCCCGCCTAACATGCTGCATAAACCATGTACAAAGCAAAAAAGTTAAAACTGTTTTATTTTTCCATCAGTTGTGATGAATGATGATTTGTCCGACTCACCCTGTCACTATCCTTAATAAGCATGAGGAATGAAGAAATCTCCGGGCAGATGATTTCGTCTAATTTCTCTGGCCGTTCAACCACAGAATATTTCACAGCAGTGACAACAGTTGCACGAGTAAAAGCAGCAGGACTTGTCGTCCTCACCTGTACATAACAACAAGAAAGATTAGGAAACCATTCATAAATCACTAATTGCCTGCAGAGAAGGTTATCATTTTTTAGTGGAGTTTTCCACCTTAAGAGCTGGCACTAATTTCTCAGGCTCAATCAGTGCCATTTTACCCAAGCATTCAGCAACAACATTCCTCACACCTTCTTCCTCGCTTTCGCAGTGGTTAAATAGCAAAGCAAGTATTTTCTCGATACTAGCATCCTGGAAGTCTGCTTTATCCACAGATTGCCTAACTATAACCTGTAAAATGTGGGAAAACAAAAACAAATAAATTCCACCAGCTCACGTACACAAGATAGAATATGAATATTGATTGAGGAAACGGACCTCCTTGAGTGAATGAAGCAGAATATATTGTTTCTTCTGGTGATTATCAATTTGGTCCAAGATAAAAGGTAGGTACTTGGACAGATTACCAACAGCAATGTTTCCAAGAGCGTAAGAAGCTGCAGACTTTATCTCTTCGAAAGGAGATTGGAAGGACTCAATTATGATTGTTTCAATGTTAGCATGAGCACTTAGATCTTTTCTTCTCCCAACCTCACCCAGACACAACAAAGCAAGATGTTGCTTCGCCTGTACAGGGAAACCATCATCAAAGACTCATATTTACATAGTTAGCAAAGTAATACAAAATAAATTCACATTGAACTTACCGAATTGGTGCTGCTATCATCTTTAAGGATTTCTATTAACATTTTAACTGTAGATGAACAATTCTGATCACCTGCTGCAAGACAGAGAACAGCAACACACTGTGCAATTGAACATAGAGCTTGCTTAGGCACACCTCCAGACTCAGGAGAAGGTTTAGCACAAGAAAGTAATGAATCCAGCAATGTGTAGAAATTTGTATTTGCATGGTAAACCAGAGCTTCAAAAAATCCTTGTAAAGCCTGTGATGAGTACCCAACAGATTTTTGTCAGTATGTCTAAAAAGCATAGGCGAAGAATTTGAAGTCCAGCGAAAGAGCAAATTACCAAAAGTGCTTGACCCTGGAGCAATGGGCTTTTAACTAATGTTAAAGCTTGGGGAAGGACCTTGTTGCGAACCGCAGAACTGATATTCTCAATGCAACTCTTGCCGGTCATCAAAGTGCAGCAGAGTTCCAGCGCAAGAGCTGTCATGTGCAGGTCTGAAACACTGAAAAGGACAAATGGAAGGAATCCTTTTCAGGAGTAAGGAAAAGAACACAAGCAAAAGCCAAAATTTGATGAGCAAAGCAGACCTTATCAAAGATGAAAGCTCCACTAGAATAACTTCATAAGCACCTGAACCAATTTTATCACCATACGCAGTTACCAGGGAGTTCAGTGTCACAAGTGTTGCTTGCCTTAGAACCCGGTTAGCCTGTTTGTCAAGAAAACAAATAAAAGCCTCAGCCATTGTGAGCAAGGAGCTCTTAACTGGTTACGAGACCATAAACAAAGAGAACAGTATGTCATAATGATAGCTATTCAAATATTAAAGCACAAAGAGATACACCTTCCGTAAGAATCCAGTCAGTTCAGCAATCAAATGATCCAAGATGCATGACAAATCAACATGCAGTGGAGAGGTCGCAATGACAGCAAATGCCTGCATGCACCCAAAACCATGGACAGCGATGATTAAGCCAGACAGGCTTAAAAAAAAAAAGCTTTTAATAGGAAGTACAGCAACCCACCTTTACAGCTGTAAGCCGGGTGATCTCATTTCCCATTCTGTCAACAAGTACAGGAAGGCAAGAAGGCAATTCTGTTTTCAGTTGATCACCAAATGTTGAAATTACAAGACCCATACAGGTAATAGCACACTCCTTGACCTCCTGCGGAAGGGAAGGGAGCTTAAAATTTTCTACAACAAAGTAAATACTCCAAATACAAGCCCAGCAATATGGTTCCGATGAACATATGTTTCAACAAATACAGCAATATGGTTTAGATGATCCTCAAAAAGGACATCACAAACCTGGTCCTGATCTTGATTCGTCAAACGTGACATTATCGCATTGTAGATTGGATGAACAAACAGTTTAAAATCAAAACCCGTGCCCTACACCAGAAGAACCAAAAAGGTAAGTAAATGCGCAAATCATATTGTCTATAAGACAAACATAGTCTAAAATCAAGATCCAGGCAATAGACAAAAAGTCCAGAAAGAATCAGCAAAGCAAAGGAGATTCCGATACTCACCTCAATACTTGGACGCACTACTCTGACAAGCTCCCCGCAGACTTTTAATGCCTCAGCAGTCACCTTGTAATAACGTTCACCCACAGCAGCTAAAACCGGAGTAGAAAGATCCTACATTGTCGTAAAGTGCACAACCCAGTCAGATCAAACTATCCCCAGTTGTTAAAAAGTTATAGAGTCAACACTAGTCATTGAACAACAACAACAGCATCGCCTTAAACACTAGTCGTTGAAGTGGAAAATATTTCGAAGGGCAAGAAACATGTAATGCCGCTAACCTTGATGTATGGGTGAAATACAGGGGGTGAGTGTGAAGCCAAGACCAATCTTGTGAAGACAAGAGCTTCGATTTTCAAGTTTGATGTAGAAGATTTATCCTGGAAAATCAATGAGAACAAATTGAATTGATAGATAAAGAACGACAACTGTTCCCACATGAAATATCATATTTCAATATTTATATTCCTACTTAACTTACGTTTAGTGCCCTCTCAATTCCAGGAACAAGAGAACCAATATGATCTGTGAGGCAATCAGGCAGGACAACCACAAGTTCTCTCAGCACCGAGAATGCACCAACCTTCAGGATTTTTAACATGTATTGAAAACTAATATTGAAAATGTATATTAGGAAACAAAACAAGACAAAAGTTACAGGTTCATACCTTTGTCTTGACAGACTTTTCACGCAGTTGCCTATTTATGGATTTCACAATCTTTGGTACTTCTTGCTTCAAAAGCCATCTTGGACTGCATGGGGCAAACGCATATATTCGGTTTGCATGGATCGTTCAGAAATGTGCCAACAAGACCACAAGCTGAAGGTAGACTGGAGTACAAGATTGCCGAAACTTGCCTTGATTCATCTGTGTCAGCTTGTCCTTTTGTCACATTTCCTGTCTGCCGTAGTAACTCAGTGAATGTGTTGAATACATCCATCTGCAGCACGAGATGTTCAGACCAATGATCACACGAAAACTCTGAGGATGGATAATTATACATTTCCTGTACCTTCACGTTTTCTTCTCTTTCCTTAAATCTGTCGATTAGTTCCGGGCATGCCTGTGCAAACAAATAATTATTACTATATTCCTTGCAAACAAAATGAGAGAGAACTTTCACTTGCTAATGAGAAAATAATAGAAAAACATTGCAAAATTCCAGATAAAAAATCGATGATGCAAGATTGTTGGTACATTAAAGTTAAATGGAAGAAAAAACTATCAGACAAGATAAAGCAAAAGATGGTAAAAGAAATGTTTCATTTGATAGATTCTTTTACATTCCCAAAACTTGAAGATGTACCTCATGATATAGTTTTGAAAGCATCTCAGGACGAGAAACGATTAAACCAGCTAAGCACTTAGCCGCAGCTCTCCTGACTTTCCAGCTCGCATCTTCGTCATCGGTGTACTCATTTGCACTCTCACTATGAGAAAATAAAGTTCAACATGAGTGATTACCTAATAGTGCACCATGAAGAATATGATGCATAAAAGAAAACTTACTCATCTTCCTCCTCTTCAAGATTCTCATCATCAGCATCTTCTTCCATGTTGTCTGTAAAATTTGGGTCGTAACTTATATATTCCAAGGTAAGATTCAATATTTCATCACAATATGGTGAGATGTCCCTTGGGCATCGTAGTAAAAAGCTTTCAAGTGCCTGCATGCAAAATCAAAAGCAGGCTTGTTATCCACCACATCTCAATTGTCATCCCAGAAGAAAATTGGTTAATCTCCTCTACTGCCTTTGTTATTCTTTTAGCAATTAGGAATTGCACCATGCAACAATAACTGGAACATTATGCTACCAGCAAACTGACAATATACTCAAAATGATGAAAAGAGAAGCAAGGTAAAATGATTGTGCCAGCCAAGATGTCAGTCCATGAAGAACCCGAATGAGGAACAAAAACCTCAATTTACCAGATCAGGGTAGAAAAATAGAGGGAGTCATGCGCCAATACCTGTAAGCTATACTCGCGAAGCTCTTCGTCATTCTCTGAAGCACTTGTGCAGTAATTGATCAAGACTGGCACAGTATCACCAAGATGGGTTCCAAATCGGTACCCAACAGAACGGCTGAAAGAGAGATGCATAAAAGAGCATTACATCCATGGAAAGCCTAATCATTCATGTATAAGAAAACGCTACATTCAAATAAAAACTATAGATTGTTAAGTATGCTCAAAATCTCGAGTTTAACTCAAGCATTCAAATTTAAATTGCAAAAGCTGATTTACACAATTGGTTTAGCCAAGTACCAATTAACAGGAAAAAGCTTAGCACTCCAGCAAATAAATAGCAGGAAGCTAACCAAGAAGCAGTTGCAACAAAAAAAGTGACAAGTACCTTAAAGCACCAATCATTTGAATATTGGTACGGGTCATCTCAGGTTTCACCTTATTATTTTGCAAGTTTCGCACGACTTCGACAGTCGCCTTTGCAAGCAAATCATCAGATAAACTCGAAGCAAGAGATGCTGAAACCAAAGAATAAAAATTAATTCCATGCGTAGGCATATTCAACCTTCCAAAAGATTCTGAGTACCATATTCCAAGAACTATAGGGGGAAACTATTACCAAATCACTACCTAAAATTAACAAAGACCCATCCAACAAGACACATTAACTACATAGTACATTATTGGTCCCAGGATGTACAACAAAAGAATTGCACAAAGAACTAAAATCCATAGACCCATATTCCAGAAACAAGTACCAGACTAGCGAAAGCCATCAACAGACCACTAGACCGAAAATTGGGTTTCAAGCTAGCATTGTCTTCAACAGAACATTGGGATTCCATCAGGACCAGCGACGTACCTAACACAATCAAGTTAATTGAACTTACCAATGCAAGTAACAGTCTTCTTCCTGACAGTGGCTTGGTTGCAACCCAATTGCAACAACAATGCACTCAAAAGTGCTTCATGATCACTTGCCATTAAATTTCCATATGTCTGAACAACATCACACATGATCTCAAGACATTCACATTTCACCCCTGTGATTGTTCCCTTCAGCAGCAAACCAGCAGAAAATTAGTATCTCGCAAACCAATAAGTGAAAACCTCAGATGTTCCAGAGGGTTGGCAAATGTTTATATGCATCATGTGCTCTTGAGCACTACGAGTTTCTCACTGGCAGCTATTAACTCAAAATAGTTCCCAAAGAACTTCAATGGCAGCATATAAGCAAATCATTCTCCAGCAAACATCAAATTAACCATGTGCTTAAGTAGCTTAAGTCATTTGCATCCAAGACCAAGTTTGATGAAATCCAAGACAATTTCTGAGCCCAAAGATATTATGTAGAAATACAATAAAGCGAAAAGAAAAAGGGCCTCATGGACACTAACCTGGGCAGCTATCCCTTTTATCATTTGTGGGGTTAGGGAAACAAGTACAGATTGCGCATGTGAAGGAACTACTTGAGCGACAATTGTACGGAGGGCTATGCCAGTAATATCACGATGCTGTTCTTTCCCATGCAGTAGCTTACCACACAGTTTATTGGTCATGTCCACCACCCGTGGTTCACTGATTTTCTTCACCAGTGGAGCAAGGCTGCAGCAAAATCATACAACAGTGGTTAAAGATAAATTGTACAAAGTCACACATAAAAAAAGACTCAAGACCAAGAAGACCAAAACACCATGATAACTCTATCAAGAAGCAATCAAAGTTAAAAATTAACTTTTACAGGGTGAGATACAAGAAGACCGTTTGAACATTGATGATAAAATAAATTTACACTGAATAACAAAGAAGAACAACTTCCACAAGTTGTAGAGAGAAAAATACCAACCATTTGACAGCCAATCCAGAAACATCACCAGCCACATCGTCAAGCTGCTGCAGTATGATACTCGACAACTTCGTCTCCATGTCAGGGTCTAGTTTGAAGGATTCCTTATTCAACTCATTCAGCAAATCAGAGGTTGCCATATACCTGTAATCCTTATCCTTGCCCGTCATCTGCCCACAAACCAAAATAGAAAATAGAATTTAGAAAGGTGAGCCTACTACAAGAGTTGCTTATCCATGTAGATGATAAAAGAACCTTTTCAAGAATTCCAGTCAACTGTAAGTTCGCCATCTTTGCTTGATAGTATCAGTCCGGCCCTTACAACTGCCACTCAGACAATATAGTCTTAAAGATTTTCAGAACATTCAAAGCATGGAAAATCTATTAAGATCAATCAAGCAATGAGCGCTAAATCACATTGAAAATGCAGAAGGGACATAACCCCCAACCAAAGCAAAATTTCCCGGCAGATAATCAAATATCTACAATCAAATTGAACGAGCTTTCAGATAAAAAAATTTCCTCCTGCCACAAGCCAGATGAGTGTTCCTGAATAATCTGCCTCGCATACAACGTCAAAGCTAACCATAAATGCAGACGCTACATTGGTAACCATACCAATCAGGACAATGTTGCTACAACCAGTCGTGCCCATAAATCCCGAAATCGAGCATACCCGTTTCAAAATTTTAAACGAAATGGGGAAAAAACGAACAAAAAACGTGGTTCCACAGAAACCAACTGAAACTAAATGCCGGAACGGGACGAAATTGACGACAACAAACCACAGAGACGACAACCGATTCGATGAATCAAATCACCGTCTCGCCAAAACCCTAAGACTGCGCCAAAAACTTCGATGTCGCTAGAGGAAATAGAAGCAACGAACGGTGAGAAATGATGGGAAGAAAACCTAGCCTTCCTTCAAGAAGAACGACCGAAGAGAACGCCGGAATCGTGAGAGAGAAGCGGTGAAGGCGAAATTGCAAGAAACAAGAAGGTACGGCTACTAAATGACGAACTCTACTCCCTCACTGCTTTGATTTTGCCAACTTTACTCGTAGCCCATAGTTATTAACTCTTTTTTTTTCTTTTTATAATTCATTTCATAAGCTTAAAACGAAAAACATAATAATAGCGGCCTATGTTTAAATGTTCGCGTTTTTGTTTGGCTATTTTATTTCAAGACCTACCTTATATGACTATATGACCAATGTGAACGAAATATAGTATAGTCACATTTTGATTTTATCAATTATAACATTAAATTTATGATGATCACACTAATTCATTATGTTCACACCTTATATATCTTACTAATCATTTGATTAAAACATCATAAATTTAAATTTAACCTTATAAACAATGAGATCAATATGTGACCACATTATATTTCGATCACATTGGTTACATAGGTAGATATTGAAGTAGAAATAGCAAAATAAGGATATTTTTATCTAAACGAAATACCCGAAATCGATAGAAAGAAATTATTATCTAAGCTGTCGAAATTAAAAAAATATTTTTTTTATAAACGTTACCGATAGGTTTCTCAAATTGAATTAAATTAATCAAATAAATTTCTATCTTTTGCTAATCGATTTAGAACATACTCATCTAGCACCCGCAAACTGGCTCATTACCGACCCGTTATTTGACGGATTGAACCGCGAAACCAACTCGACAAACCACAAACTACCCGCAAATGTCGACTCGTATAATTCGTGAACCAGATAAACCGGAATAGACCGGGATTTTCTTGAACCGTTTTCAAGCGAAACTAACGAGCCATAAAACTGATTAAATACGGTAAAAACGTGACGTGACTAATCAACAAGGATAACATTAACACACTCCAAAAACAAAATTAAAACACCAGAGAAGAGATCTTACTGGGAAAGAGACAAACTTTGGGAGGCAAGAAGTGCTTTCGAACAAACCATCGAGTGATAATCATCTTATTAGGAAAGCAAATCAAACAACGACACCAGAAAACTGACACGAGTTTTCAAAACAGTCAAACCATCAAATCCAAAGTCTTGTGTTTTGTTCAACTTATTGAAACGATCCAAGAAGTTGGGAGGGAACTGAGTGAGAAGCCCTCACCCTCTGTCTTCCGCCACCAACGCCTTCATCTGCCACCCAGACAAGCTCATTCCCCTCAGAATCACAGTATAAACTCGAGGCTCGGAACCAAAAAAAAAACAGATGCAATGGAGGGGCATAAAAAAGCTCTACAAGGCGAAAATGACCATATCGGTAAAGTTATTTTTCAGTAGCAATTGCCAATCATCTTACCTTTCCCCGGGATCAAACATTGTACAGTTTCATATTTTCGAAAGGGAATACAACTGAGAAAAAGTACTGAACTTGGCCCGGAATTCATAATCAAACTAAATCATATACTTTCCTCCAAAAATGCATATAGGAAAAGCTAGTTGTTGACAGCAACAGCCTTTAAAATTTGCCTGGAACTGACTTTGTAAAGTCTTGAATTTTAAGAAAGGAATCACCAGGTAAAAAAGGTCATGAACCAGAGCTATATCTGTGTTTAATCTAGAGACATCATATTTCCTTCAAGTGATTGTTCCTTTGCTTAGTCATGTGACAACTGACCACTGTAAGAGCTAACTGATGCAAAGAAATACAACAACAACAACAACATGGCCTCATTCCCAAATTCAAAACTGATGCAAAGAAATGATCAAGACAAATTGCCTAGGGTCTTCCCAAACTAACATTGTAAAGTTACAGATTCTGAAAACAGATTCAATGGAGAAGGGTACTAAAATTGCGCGATCTCTAGGATAAACCCCATATATGTATTCATTCAGCATTACCTAGTCAAAACCAAAACTAAGTCATCTAGGTCCCAACTGATATCAGAAAACTTTTCCGCTACTCTTGATCAATGGCAGACTCACCAATTCTTGCCGGTGTATCTTTTCTCGGCTCTTTTATAATAAAGAGAGAACTGAAACTATACCAAAATTCAAAGTGTGAAACTAGAACGACATTGCAATAACATATCACAAGGTTGTCAAACGTTATCTACAAACTTCTCGTGTCGGAACGGGACAAAAGACCTACCCTGTACCCAACAACAGTAAGCAAAAGTAATTCAGCTACACACCCAACCCAATAAATGGTTATACCCACGAGATTCATCACTACTAGCTCACATCAAATTGAATCATATAAATCAATTCCGCAGAATTTATGAAGGCCTTTTCGCTTGAATTAATATGTTCACCAAATTCAGAATCCACCCAAACGGAGACGAAGTGACTCCAAACAGATTCGAATGAATTCCCTAAAAGGCCCTCTCTCTCTCGCATTCCAATCAAACGAAAAACACGAGAAATCGCCCAAATTTTCCACAAAAATCATCGGAAACCAGTTACCTGATCGAAGAAGATGGCTTCCTCTACGCGTGCTGTTTCTGGTGTTGGTGAGACGACGGAGCAGGCGCCGAGAGCTTGCTGTAGATCTGTTCGCCGACGAGGTAGACGCAGAAGGCGGCGACGCCGAGGCCGAGACCGGGAAGGGCATGCCTCATCTGGTTAGAGAGCATCGGATGCTTCCTCCACTCATCCCTTCGCCGGAAAAACTCTCCGGTAGGACCCAACGGCTTCGCCATTTTCCTCCAATGACCGATTTTTCTGCGTCCGAATTCGCCCGTCTCTTCTCGAGAAATCGATTTGTGGAGCAATTGGTGCCTAGCCCCTTGATGTATCTATCCTTAGAAGCCCAGGTTTCAATTCTAATGGGCTTATTAGGCCCATTTGTTAAAAGCCTTCAAACTAGATATTATACTATAATTAATTTAAAATAAAAAACAGGTGAATTTTTTGAAATGTTTTGGTATTTTGATTTTAAGACATACCTTTTTCTATATATGACTCTCTGATTTATATGATCAGAAATTTAATTTTTGTCATTTTGGTCATAACGTTAAATTTATGATGATCACACTCATTTATTTTATTCATATCTTATATATCTCACTGATCATTAGATAAAAAATTTATAAATTCAATATTACAACCAATATGACCAAGATTAAATTTCTAATGACATGAGTCATAGAGTCACAACTGGAAAAAGACATGTCTTGAAGTCAAAATAACAAAATAAGAGTATTTTTTTATATAATGGTGAATAGTTTGCTTCTATTCTTTGATTTTATAAAAATAAATTATTATTTTATATTCAATTTTAGTTTGGATTTCGATTTTTATTAAAAAAATAGATATTTAAAAAAAAATCAGTTTTTAAGTTTTTTAAAATTGGGTCCGACGGGATTTCAAAAAATTCGATTTTTCAAAAATTAATAATCGTTTGAAAATCTTCATTTTTCAGTTTATAGAATCTTCATTTTTCAGTTCATAGAATTCGGTTTCGAAACGCCCACCCAACCCCACTTAAAAGGCTTAAACACATATTTGAGAAACGGGAAATGAAATGTGATGCATTACATTGGTTATTCTAAAACTAGGATATTAGGCATTCACTGTAGAATAAAATTAAATATATAACAGATTCATATTATGGAAATCAAATTTTATACTACAGTCAAATTTGGATCAATTGGCACACCTATCATTTTTATAAATTCTGAAAATAAAAAATGCACGTTTTATTATATTTTTTTAAGGTTCTTTTAGAGGTCCAATAGGTTTCTCCGCTCCACTGCTCTCTCTCTCTCTCTCTCTCTCTCGCTCTCTCTCTCATATGGCTCTGCTTCAGGCGAACCTTGGCTTCGTTCCATCTCCATTTATTTCTTCTTCTTCAAGTCCCAAGCTTGCTTTCAAATCGACATCGGATGTTTTGGGCGTTGCCTCCCCCTTCCCAGGCAAATTCGCCTAATTCCTCTGCATTATAGTTTATCGTCTCTCGGCTTCTTTCCCTAGTGATTTTGCCTGTTTCGCTGTCGTTTCAGTACTCAAACTGGATTGTCGGAAAAGGGTATGCATCGGCAGAAAAAGAGACGCCCAGTTCTCAATCAAGTGTTTATCGGCTAATGTTGATAATGTACGTTAGATCTCCGTGAGTTCTCCACTGTATTCTTCTGGGTATTCGCAAATTCTCATGCTTTCATTGGATTTCTAAGATTTCTTGCCCTCTATTGTTTTCACGCCTGAGCCATTGTTCTGCAGAGCAATGTCGTTGTGAAGGAGAAGAGCGTATCCGTGATCCTCTTGGCCGGAGGTCAAGGAAAGAGGATGGGTGTAAGCTGAAATCTATCTGTCTTTATTACCAAAAAAATGAAAGAAAAAAAATACCACTCGTGGCCCCATGAACTTAGCTCTGATGATTTTGCAATCCTCTGCGTCACTAAAGTGTCTGAAAGTTCTTTCTTTTGGAGATTGTGTTACGTATCACTAAGCTTAATCTTGTTGGTACAATTGCAATATCTTGAGTTTGAACTCCCTTGATGTTTTTGTATACAGGAGGCTGCTTAGCTCAGTTCATGACTGATGTCAGAGTTGTTTTCATGTCTTAATGGCTTGAGTTTAGTTGTTAGTGAGATCAAACTGATAAAACTTAGCTCAATTGATGTCATAGTTGTTTTCATGTCTTAGTGGCTAGAGTTTAGTTTTTGGTGAGAGCAAACAACAGGGTTAATGGAAACCGATTTTGTTCTCTCCTGCTTAAACTTTTGTCAGCTGACCCAATATATCCAGGTTCATGGAACTGTTTGTTTCTACAGAACTTTCCCATGGCTAAATTTGTCTGTCTTCAATAGTATCAATCATTTTCCAATATTTTGTATCTAAGAAGATGGCTTTCTTATCCACATGTGAATAGATGAGCATACCGAAGCAGTATCTACCCCTCCTCGGTCAGCCAATTGCTGTATACAGGTAAACTTTCGATATTTTTAAAAAGGTCCAATCTCGAAACATATAGGCTTTGCAAGGTAGAGCAGTTAAGCATGACGTTCTTATTGCTGCTTGAATATGTTTGGCTGAGAGGATGGCTCTGAGAGCAAATGAAGCAAACTGTGATATGTTGGCATAAGAGTTGTAGTGCAGCTATTTCCATGTTCTGGAATCTGCTTGTACAGATTTAGAGCATAAGACCTCCAGATATCTTGTAGATACATGCTTCGTATTGCCCATGCAGCAAATGCTTAAATGCTCTCTCCCTTTTTTTCAGCTTTTTCACATTTTCTCGTATGAACGAAGTGAAGGAAATCGTTGTTGTTTGTGATCCATTTTACCGGGATGTGTTTGAAGGTTTTATCTCTCTCTCTCCCTCTCTCCAACTGTAAATTTTGATCAGTTTTTTGGTTCATACTCTTGACAAGTCAAGCATATACATAGACCTCTTCCCAAGCATTTTTCTACTTCTCATAATGTCTGAGTTAGGGGATTTGTACAATGATAACCTTCATTTCATAGAATCTTTCAATTATGTTACAAGTCAAGCTGATTCAGCTGAACATTCTGACTCTCTCAGATGCCCAAGAATTGGTTGACATTGACCTCAAATTCGCTCTTCCTGGGAAAGAGAGACAAGATTCTGTATACAATGGACTTCAGGTTGCTACATTAACTCTGCTCTTGTTGGTCAACATATCGTGGGAAAGTTGTCCTAAAGAAGCAACGTTTCCAGATGGGCTTGTACTGGTTAAGATAAGTGACCAGTTCATTTGTGCAGGAAGTTGATTTGAACTCTGAGCTTGTTTGCATCCATGACTCTGCCAGACCATTGGTGACCACTGAAGATGTCGAGAAAGTATAATTTATGGTTGCCTGTTTATCTCATTGCCATTGTGTGAAGCAACGAAAGTTTCACGTGCCAAGAGACAAAATCTTAAAGAGTCTCTTAACGGTATCCTCCATTGCTTGTGTTTCTTACAGGTTCTGAAAGACGGTAGTGTAGTTGGAGCAGCTGTTCTTGGTGTTCCTGCAAAAGCTACAATCAAAGAGGTAGTGATTCACCAACTTATTGGACACACACATATATGTTTGTATCGGCATCTATAAAGGGCTTTACCCTATGCAAAATATATGCAGGCCAATAGTGAATCATTTGTGGTGAAAACGCTAGACAGAAAGACCCTCTGGGAAATGCAGACTCCTCAGGTTTCTATTATCTTGAGCTTGGCAGAGATAGATAACCCATGATTCCATCCATAAAACCCTTCAATGAACAGTTACTTACGTCCAACCAATCTTTCTCTGCAGGTGATCAAGCCCGAGCTGCTGAAAAGAGGTTTCGAGCTCGTGAATAAGTACATCGACCTTACTCATACCATGCCATGTTCCACACTGAAATATCGTATAAAGACGTTAGGGAGAATTTTGTCATCTCTATCTCTCTCTGTAGGGAAGCTCTAGAGGTCACAGATGATGTTTCAATAGTAGAGCACCTCAAGCATCCAGTATACATCACTGAAGGATCGTATACAAACATCAAGGCATGCCAAATTCATCATGTGTTTGACAAAACTTTATATGATTGTTTGTTCAGAACCAAAAAAAAAAAAACTGTTTGGTCAAAATGGTCACTGATGGGTTTATGTCAATGTCATCCATGGTTTTCAGGTCACAACCCCTGACGATCTACTGCTTGCCGAGAGGATCTTGAGCATGGATTCATGAGAGAATACTTCCATCTGAAAGCCATTTCATAGCAAGGCATGATGTCAGGATGTATCATTATGACATGAAAATATGGTCGGAAAGCATTTGTAGCTCTCACTTCTCACATTGAGAAACCCTTTTGAAAGGTCTAAGCTTTAAGATGCATTAAGACAATGATACATGTTTGCATAACATAAATAATCATAGAAGGTAAAGCATTTCAGGCCATTTGATTTAACACTGATAAAAACAACTTGCATCACGGGTTCTCTTTTTCATGACAGAACAATGCATAACATAGGAATGATATCAAAGACAAGCCCATTGCATCTGATTCTGAATAGAACAAGCAAGCTAGCTGCTGAAACAAGAGAGTGATTAGAGACAACAATTTTCCTCAAACAGAACAGGAATTAGCAATACCATAATGTTATTTTTTTTAAAACAAAAAAAAAGACACGAACTTTAAAACTGTCTCAATAAAAAGACACTACACTTCGCAAGAAAAAGAGTGAAAAAAAAAAGAGCCTTGGTTTCTTCTTACTTCTTTTCTAATCTTCTTTCATGGCTTCCCTTCCTTCCAGCAACAAACATCAAATATTACCCTAGCCTTTTTTTTTGTGTGTTATCACCTTCTTCAAACTCTTGCCCTCTTGCTACTGCAACCCGGGCATTTGTACTGCTTGATATGCTCTGCCTTTGCGGGTGTGATTTTTACGCATTTGCCATGGAACCATCTCTCACACACATCGCAGCAAATCCAGAACTCATCCGTACCATAGTTATCCCCACAAGCCCCACAAATGGCACCTTGTTCATCGTCTTCTTCATCCTCTCCGCTCTCGTCATCTTCTTTTGGAAGAGGAGGAGACATCTTTGAAGCCTTGGTGTTAGATTCCGACTGGCGAGACTGTTTGACCAACATAATGAAGATAACGCCCGAACGAGTTAAAGAAAGGAGCAACTGGGTCAGTCTAATGAAATTGAAAACTGTAAAAGAGGACATACCTTGCTGCCGGATTTGCTTTTGCTACCGTTGTGGTTAGCAGACTGATCCTTAGATTGTTTGGCATTGCCAGTCACAACCTCAAAAATAGTCGGTAGATCATTTATCATCTGGAAGAGCCTCTTCCTGGAAAGATGTAAATCACGTCAAAGCATCAGATGCGTGTGTTAACTAGATGTTGTCCTCAAAAAAGCTTCCTCCTTGGTGCTTCAATGAACCTAATTCTCAGAAAGCAGCTTAAATCGGCTGAGACCTGAACCGTTTATATCTTTACCAAGTTTCATCCAGCTTAGTGGAATACATTAACACCAATTTCACCTTCTGTCTAATCCAAGTGAAAAGAGAGGAAAGCAGTAGCCATTTCTAAAATTAACCTCAAAGATGGCTAACTAAACAAAGAGATGTACAGTTACAAGAAGGTCGCCCAGAGATTAATAATCTCAGAAACAGCAACAATTAAGCCTGGAAGGATGCTGGAATACTGCAGCTGTTACAAATTAATGCCTTAGCTGTCACGTACAAATGATCTTCAAAGCACTGAACTAAGGAAGGAAGGAAAGTAACCTCACCTCTCATTCTTACCAAACCCAAAGCGTGCGCCAAAGTAAAATGCAACAGCGAGCAGCCATGAATCACTGTGAACTGCAACCAAAGACAGCCAGTCCTTTTCTTGCATTCCATCCCTCGCAAAGTTGATGCCTAAAGCTGGCTCGGGAAGCTCAGGAGGAACCTCCTCAACAGGAAGGTTAACCTCCCATGTCTCATTAGGAAGTCCATACAGGCACAAGTTCTCCTTCTCTGCAGACAGTAACAACAAATGCCCTCAGAAAGAGAACCCACATAGAGGACAACACCGAGAACTAACTTCCCTTTAGCTGAGCACAGATTGAAACTCACAAAATAACCGAGCCTCCGATCTGTTTGAAGGCGCAAACAAACCCAGATAACAAAAACGCTAAAGTAAAATGCTAGGGCAACCAAAAACATCCAGATAGGCAGCTAATATGAAGAATGAGAGGAGAAAGAACATATATAGCTCCTTGTTGCTTCTACTGGCGTTGATATCTGAAATCCCTGTCTTGGAGACGTTTGATAAGAAAATTATGAAATAAACTCATTGGAAAACTGTTAAACAGACAAAAAGATATGTCAACCAAAGACCAAAAAAATAAATTCTGGAAACAAAGGGCCATCAAACATTGTCGACAATACATGGATATTCCTCTTTTGCATACATTTCAGTAACTCTTCGCTTTTATAGGTCCGGAAAGGGACTGTCTCCTAGCCAGGTATACTCTCGAGTAAACAATTCAAACCATGAACAGCACTTCCGACAAGTCGACAAGAACACAGAAGCCACAACGAAAGCAATAAATTAACACGGGTGGAGAATTAACTCACCAGGGTCGCACTGAGTGTAGAATTTCTCCACATCTGCATAAACCCAAAACGAACAAACCCAGAATCGTCAAAACCCCACAAAATTTGAAGAGAAAAACCTTAACCGTTAATTCGTCACGGGACAAAACAGTGAAAAAGACGAGATATATGCACATAGCGACATACAAACTTGCAAATCCACGCAAGCTCATCCTTGAAATTCGCTGGTGCTCATTGCAACTATGCGGAGAAACAAAAACCCAGATTTGGACAAAACCAAAAACAGAAGAGAGAGAGAGAGAAAACCCAGCTCACCGGCCGTGAGAGCTTTGATCAGCCCAGCTCGTCGACCCCTGAAGTCGCTAAAGACCTCCTCGACAGTACGGGGTATGGGGTGAGGAATTCCCTCCATTCTTCTCTCGCCACAACTTCACAGACAATCACGCCGGACAACAACTCACCCTCTCAACGCCGACGCTGGTGGGTATCACCAGTGCTTAACCGAATCGAATGCCAGATGAATGCGGCGAAATTTCGAGATTCGGAAAAGCAGGATAAGAAACCAAGGCCGGGTTTTATCCTTCGGGGTCGCAGACAAGGAACTGCTTACTTGGATTTGGGCTTTGGGGGAGAGAAAATACGAAATCTCTGCAGGAATTTAATTAGAAAAAATATGAAAAATATAGGGGAGGAGGAGAGCAAGAGCTGAAAACCCTAAAAATGAAAAAGGAAATGCTGCAAGACAATTTTTGGGGCTGACGAAAGAAAACCGGGACAACGTGTATTTTATGTATGATATAATCTCTCTATATTATATTATATTATATAAAAAAAAAAGCCACGTATTCTATTTTCTTAGCTTCGAGCTTCTTCTTTTTTTGGAAATTCACCTGCGAATTCATTTTAATATTAATACCAAAATTTAATTATATTATAGCTTTGCCTTTTATATATGTATCTATAAATTTACTTCTATTGATATATTCATTTGACATGAAAGTATGTGTTTTAAATTTGCTTGTACCGAAATCTATATGATATCATTATTTACAATTTGTAATGTGTAACTCACACGGACACCCAAAAAAAAAAACTTTTTTTCCAATGACAACCATATAATATAAGAATCAAATTGTTCTGATAAGTTTTAATTCTTTAATAGTAACTTCGGCCCAATCTAGTTTTTATCAATTGTACATAAATGAACCCGTTAGCGACCCAATATCTCAGACCAATGGGCTTTGTGGGTGTAAAGTCAAAACGGCACCGTTTGCTGTGTTTTGCTTACGTCAGCTGTATCACAAGAAAGAAGAAGAGAGAGTTTAGGGTTTTGGCTTTGATCCCCTACATGCTCTACCGATCTTGCTTCGTTCATACATATATTCTTAGGTTCACTTCAGGTTTTTTGAAATCATCGTGACAAATATCTACACACCCTGTAATATAACTCGGTAATATATATATATACACTCTCATTTATCGATCATTCTCTATCTATCTGCACCATTTCCGTGTTGTTTCAAGTTTTCAGAGTTCTTCTACTCTTTTTCTAGGGTTTTCTCATTTTTTTTGTATAGTGGGGAAACTTGTCCTACAGCCTTTCGAGGCAGACATGGGTCACCGCAACGTCTCTCATCTCAATGGATCGGACGAAAACGAAATCTGACAGCATCGTGGACAGTAAAACCTCATCCCATGTGCACGAGCCTCCAACAGACACGTGGGAGATAAATTAGTTGTAGTGACAGATGAGTTGGCAAGGAGTATGGTCAATGTCTCACGTGAGGGTTTCCCGTTTTCTCGTTTCCTATATGTTTGTCTCTATATATGTTTGTTTCTCTCGATCAATGAAATGTACAAAAAACGATAAGATAGTAATCATCCAACATGCGTGAAAATACATGAACCAGTTGATTTGAACTTTAATGTGAAACATTGGAGACATCTCACTCGTTGATTGATCGACGCCCAAATTATATGTAGAAACAAATCGAGACAATAAGACAAAAGAGCATGGGTGTGTCTCTTCGTCAAACATATATTAGATGCTTCTCTTGTCTTGCTTACAGCAATGGGGCCAATTTTCTCTCTTACCGCAGTTCCCGTAAGGTCGTTTTCGTCAAACCCTAACGAAGACAAAACTGGCATTCTCTCTCTCTCTCTCTCTCTCTCTCTCTCGTCGCATCACTAGCTACTTGAATTATTAGTTATAAGAACGGGTACGTGTGCAAGTTCAGTGCATGATCTCGAAATAATAAACTAATCTGGTCCAACACTTAGGACCCAAAGCGAAAATGTTAACAGCCTGTAAACAAATATATATGAAATATCTAATCATAAAACGATACATATTTTAGTTCTATGAGAAGCTGCGTCACTGTGTATGCAGAATCAGTTCGGTGACGTAAAATGACGGTAATCAATCATAGTCTAATTTTGATTATGTATTCGAGTTTATATAATTAATGAAGCATCTTAATAAAATCAATATTTACTTAAATGGGCCGATATTACTACAATCTATGTGATTCCACACCTCCCACAGCCTGTCCGGGAAAGCGTTGTTAGGCATCGTCCCCGGAATAACGTTCATCGTCTGCGTTTGAGGCGTCAGTGTCGTGGCCGCAGCCATCAAATGCAAAGCGTTTTGCTGCTGCTGCTGCTGCGGTTGCTGGTGGTGGTGGTGAAATTGTTGAGCTATTTGGTAGTATTGTTGATTGATGTTACTTGAGTCACTGACGGATATCTGGTAATTAACCAGCCTTTGGAGCTCATCAACAGAGTTATTGACGAAAACGGACTCATCTTCGGCAGCCATTGTTGAGATCACCGGGTTGCTTGTGACGTAAGGCATTGGACGGTAGATGTTCTGATGCCGTTGTTGCTCTTGTTGTTGTGGTTGGTGACTGACTAAAGCCATGGTTACGTCGGAATTGCTGTTGTCGGTCTTAGTTCTTCTTGTGTTGGTGTTGTTGCTGCTGTTGCTGCTGTTGGGAAAGGTAGCGGAAGATGAGGGATTTTGTTGTCTTAAGGCCAAGCGTGATGATGGGGGTGATGATGATGATGATGCGTTATGATGATGACGATGATGCCTTGTGGGAAGAGAACGCGGGAGCGACGGGTGATCTTCAACTCCTGGCCTCTTGTAGACCCGGCAAAGTGATATTTCAGCCTGTATATATATATTCATGTACATATATATATATATATATGCATGAATCAAATATCTGGATATGTATATGAGATTATGAATGGAAAAACAAACAAATTGGACTAATATATAATTCCCAATCATATATATGTAGGCGGATAGTCCAATAAAAAAAATTTACATGATAAGTAGACACACAGGCCGCACACATATTACACCCAGCAAAGCGATTATTTTGTCTATAAACATAAATATATATATATATATACACACACACATTACATATATATAAAAGAACCGATGGGCCATGGTAGTTAAAGAGTTCATGCGTATGGTATGAACATGTCTGAAGGGCATATATATACATTTACTGCAAAACAAGATCGAGAAACATCAAATGCCGATCGAAAGAGCTTGACAGTTCCAACCTTATTCGATCCACGAGGGCTCAGATCCCTAGGTTTAGAACACGATAACGTTTCAGAAAAGTACAAGTCTTTTGTCCGGATATATCCAATGGCTTACATTGGGTCTTCAGAAAAGAAAAAACAAAAAGGAACTTGGGTTTGAATGGTGTATTAGGAATTGAATTTGTAGTGTAATATAGTTAGTTGTACCAATTAGGGTTATCTATGTATACATACACACACACTGTATACACGTGGATGAGGACGAGGAAAATCAGGAAAAAGACAGAACGTTTAGGTTTAGTTTTACGAGGACAAGCCGAATCCTGAACCCACAAACACACAATCACATACATAGATGCATACACACATATGTGTGTATATATATATATAAAATGAAGATCATTTAAGTACCTTTTGGTGCTTCTCGGTCTCGTGGTGAGGCAAGCGGTACTCGTTCATGATCCAACTTGTACGGATGCCTTTGGGGGCTTTGCCGGAGTAGAAGACAAGTGTTTTCTTCAATCCGATTGGGCGAGAAGTCTCCGATCGGATCATCCGATCAGCTCCGGTGGCTTTCCAGTATCCTGACGTCGTCACCCGGTTCGGCCTGTCTCCGTTTCTGTACTTGCGATCTCGTGGCACGTAGAAGTACCACTCTTTCTCTCCTATCGCCGCCAAAGCTGCATATATATATATATATGTGTGTGTGTGTGTGTGTTTATCAAAACAAAATCATTAAACGCCTGATAGAGTCATACATACGAAGACGTAGGTATGTGTTTATGTTTATGCGCTTATGCATATGGCATATGATGAAATCATAAAGTTTAAAGTTTTTTTTGGTTGAACATAAAGTTTAAAAGTTTATAATCAAGAAACAAATTAACCAAACAAAGACAAGAATTTACTATTGCGAGTCAATGGTTACAAGAGAAGAAGAATCACAAGGAAGAAAAAGAAGAAATTAACCCAAAAAAAGAGTGTATATATAGGTTCAAGAAAGGAAAGGGAAAATAAAGAATTAAAGATATGAAGAAAGGTAGAGATAGTGAGGAAAAAAGGGTTATGTATATATATATATATATATATATATATATATATATATATATATATATATATCTATATTCGCATAAACACACAAACATATATATATATATAAAGAAGGAGAGAGTATATATATGTATATGTACCAGGAAGTTCCCAAGGATCGTAGCGATAAAGATCGAGAAAAGTGATGAGTTCAACATTAAAGCGTTTGCCCTCGACCTTACGGCGAAGGTAAAACTCTATGAGCTCTTCTTCGGTGGGGTGGAAGCGGAAACCGGGCATGACCATGTCATGGCCATGATCATCATCGTCATCGTCGTCATTATTATCATCGTGACCTTCATGGCCTCGACGGTCATCATCCTCGACACCCTTGTCGCTGTTGCTGCTGCGGTCGTGGTGAAAATCTCCATTACTAACGTTGCTGCTCATGGTTATGATGCCTGTTGTGGATGATACAACTGCCATAAAAGAGCTATACGGGCTTTGAGTGTGTGTGTGTGGTTATGGAAGAAAAGGGGATTTAAGAAGATACTGAAAGTGATTAAGGGTATTGGTCTTTATAGTACACTAATGGAAGAGAAAATTAAGGAGAAATGATATTGAGTGGTGTGGCTAGAGATAAGAGAGAGAGAGAGAGAGAGAGATGATGGTGAAATTGAAACGGCATCGTTTTGTAAGCTGAGAGACCAGACGTGAATATGAATGTCGAAGGAGAGAGAGGGAGAGTTAAAGAGGAGACAATGACTTGTCCAATTGAGGACAGGGTGTCCACGGTCTTCTTAGCGGTCCTTTGGACATTTCTCCTCTCAATTTATAGTTTCCATTTCCATTTCCATTTTATATTTTTTTAAATGTTCTTATTTATTTATATATATTTCCACGTACAGGCGCACGCACCAAATAATAGATATATTCCATCCGTTTTATAATAATTAACGTTTTAACTTTTATCATAATTTTTAAGAAACTCAAAAAAAAAAGTCATCATATAAACCGACCAATGCGCTCCCAAAGGCATCCGGAACGTTTAGTTGAGATATCATAATAATGATCTCGAGATTTCATACCTTATGGTACGTAGAAGCATGGCTCCTCATATGTAGAGACAGTTCGAGGATAATAGATAAAATATAATTAATATTTATTAAATTTATTAGAATTGATTAGTTTTAATTAAGAATAAAATTGGAATTTATTTTGAATTTTTTTGTCTATATGGAACATTGATAAAATCTTGAATTCATTTGCATTTCTTATATAGTCTTTTGGATTCGTTGATCTAAATGATCATTCACATTGGTCATTTTTTTTTAACATATTTTCTTATTTAACTATTAGCACCATATACAATACATAAGACAACAAAAACTGTCTGTGAAAATTTTATAAAATTTCTAGATTTTATATTTATCTATATGTCTACTTTTACTAAATATCGAGATTAAATCAAGTAAATAACATATTCAATATCTAGAAGGTTCAAATCGACAAATGTAACAATGGAACCAAATCTAGATAGTACACAAGGAAAAAAATCAATAAAAGGAAAATAGACATTCACATCAAAAGACAAATCACATATTTAGAAGATATTGAGAGAATCACTCAGAGAAGTCTATAAATGATGAAGACGATATTAGAAGAGGGTACCGAGATTATTGTTATTCGAGAGTAGAGTCTATGAACTTGTTTATATGTACGGAAAACACTAGTGAGAGATGTTTGAGAGAACGTGAGATAGATCTGAGGGTGAGCATTAAGTAACAAACGAACTGTTCACTGAGTCTAGACATGATCTAGGATAACATCTGCTGTGTGCTGCACACAGAGTGTTTGTGACTGGTAGAATTTCTTGTGATAATGGAATTTTACTTATGAAGAGTAAAATTAGATTGATTAAGTACTATTTGAAAAAGTTTGAAGTGTATTTGACACGTATCAAAAAAATAAAATTAGTTTGGGAATTCTTGGATCGAAAAATCGTGTGAATGTACTTTTTCACAAACATATGCATCAATAGTGAATTGATAAAAGTGATTGCCAGATTAATTGAATCGATATAGAATTAAATAATACATTCTTTGCTAATGGCTGGCATTATTTAATTAATTTTTTTAATGGCCAAGAATACATCTTATTGGTGACCTAATTTACTATAATTTCGTATGCTCACTTGCCTTAAAATATATATATATATATATATATAATGTTCTTTATATTTCGGACCCACAATGACTACATTAAAATTTCTATAATTATGAATTGGAAACAAATTCTGCACTATGCCCAAAGAGTGCAGATTTCTATCCGTACAATTTATTTAAAATAAAATTAAGGGTAAAACTTATTGAAAATTCTTTAATTTCTAAAATGATAGAAAATAAATTGCTAAACTTTTCGATTAATAAATTTATTATTAAACTTTCAAAATGTGTCAGTATAATTTTCAAATGTGTTAACTGGTATCAGAAAAAATCTCTATATATTCATAAATATGTTTGAGAATTATAATGATATATTTTTATAAGTATGTGAATTATAATGACATATTATGCATGTTTCAGAATAAATTTGTCTAACAAAAAGTTTAAAAATTAGTTTTTCACCATTTTACAAATTTAGAAATTTTATCCTAAATTAGTCAATATCTACAGAAAATGTTTTAGGTATATAACAGTATATGATAAATAATAATAATAAAAGCTACAAAGTCTACGATGATCACAATCTGGTATAGCTAATTAGTAATTAAGGATATTAAGAATGTTAAGCGGATTTGAATTAGCCTATTGACCTTGGCGATGAGTTCGGCCACTCCTTAATTAATTACATTAATTTCACTAACCTATAATTTGTTAGACCTTAGAAAACATATTTGAAAACAATAATACAATATTATTGCAATAGTTTCGGCTTTTCATCATTTTCTATAATCCGTATTTCGACTCGAAATTCAAATTAATTTTGATAGTTGGAATATATGATGTGAATGTTCCAGTGCTCAAGAGGTTACCTAATTTAATGTTATTTTATTAATATTTCGATTTTTTTAATCTAGACAAATAAAATAAAAATCAACCCCTTTTTGGTTTTTTCTAACAGTTACTATAACAAGAAGATATACAATATGTTTACATGTATATATATATATATATATGTTTTGTGGTTTAATAATTAACCATGTTTTAAACTAAATAATGATGTCAAATTCATAGATAACATTATTTCTATAATATGTATAATGTTTCCATAATAAGTTCAACATTATTTCGCGGTCTTATTTTTACATAGCTAGTTTGATTGAGATTGTATATAGGTTTAAAATGAATGTATGCTGTATCGTAATTATAAACCATAGGTTTGGAACTGCATTAATTATAACTGAATTTGTAATATAAAACTAATTTAAAAAAAAAAGAAATAGAAAAAAGTTCAAACTTATTTAAATGTGGAAGTAAATGAGAGGGGGTGGCAGTGGGGCTTGACAACATGAAGTGGTGTTTTTTAATTGGCAAATGAACATGAAGTGGTTTTTCCTAAAAGGGTTCATTGTATTTTCTATATGTTTATTCTACAAATTATTTTTTATTTTTTTTGTTTTTATATTGTGTTGTCAGTTTTTATAGATTATATTAGGGATGGCTATTTCGGGTTTCGGTCCGGGTTCGATTCGATTATATTCAGGTTCGGTTACAGAAAAACTATAATCATTCAGTTTTTATATAAAATTCGGTTCGGTTCGGTTTCGGTAAAAAATTTATTTTTTCAAAGAAATTGTCAGATTTTTCGATTATTTTTTTTAATTCGGTTCGGTTTCGATTTTTTCGGGTTTAAGAAAATCATAATAATTCGGTTTTGATGTAGGGTTCGGATCGGATACAATTATGTCTTATTCGATTCGGTTATTTGGTTAACAACCGAAATGGCCATCCTAGATTATATGTTTGTTCTACAAATTCTGTTTCTTTGTAAGTAATTATACTGTTGAAGTATCTTAATACTCAATCTAGTCAATAATGAGTAACTCTTGTCAATTTTAAATATCCATTATTTTTTATTTAGAGAATCGATTTTATCTCATCATTTGCAATTGTACGTCGGGAACTATATATATTTGTAGTTAGGAGATTAATTAATTCAACCATATCTAAAATGACAACGTGAAAATTCATTTTTTATATATATCAAGATGCAAACAAATATCACACAAAGACCTTCTGCAACGATCTTTAATTTGTAGAATGGAGAGTAAGGAGTGAGTGTCATATGATATAAAAAATTTAAGATAATCTATTATAATAAAATATGTATCATAATATTAGATTGATTTTGAAAATTATTTTAGATATTCTAAATTATATTACGTGAATCTTCTAGAAGATCTCATGACGTGGACGTGGGCCCCGGTGAACTCCCCCAATAAGGGAAATAAGCTTTTTCTAGAATTCTACACTTGCCGATTTTGGGATTATAAATAAATTAAGGTTATTTTCTTAAGAAAAGTAAACCACCAAATCCACGATGAGAGAGAGAGAGAGAGAGAGAGAGAGAGATTATTTAATTAAATGTGCGATTAATTGAACATTAAAAATTTAATTAACGCGTCATGATTTAATGCAATACAGACTCTTCCAAGGGTTTGTCTTCTAGCACGAGAGTCGCAAGTAGGGTGGCGAGAAAACAAAGTACCTTCCAGAAATATATATATTTTTAATTAGTTCATATAATTATATATAATGATTTAAAAAAATTAAGAATTTACAACACGACCACGGATGGCTTTTCACTAATCTTCCATTGAAAGAAATTTCATTTTTTATATATTTTACCATAATTATCCAAATTATTCTTAAATTATTTCATGTAGCTATAATTTATGTGTATGTGGTTGGAGGAGGTGTAAGAAAAGATGATACTAGAAGAAAGAAAAAGTTGGCAATCTTAAAAGTCATAAATTAAGTACTGATTATAATTAATTAAACCTCGTCTCCCAACCAAAATCAAGCAATGTTTTACCAATAAATCGGATTTGGGTTTTCCAAAAAAAAAAAAAAGAATTTAATTTAGATTTGGTTACCCATCAAGCCAACCTCATTGGTCATCGATTCTGTGTAGGTTGGTGATATTTACTTTAACAAGAAATTAATTAATTAATTAATTAATGAACCAAGCTCTAGCTTAATTATTCCACCAACTTCATCACTAAATTATATACATATATATATGGGGCAGTCGCACTCTTGTAATCGAGTCCATTCCTAACATTTTTGTTTTGTATATATAATAATCCATGAACTCATATAAACGACTTTTTAAAGTGTTTAATTAAAATTTTATGACTTGGCTATATATTTTCTGACATGGACCGACCTTATTCGATATATGTTCTCCGAATCATACCTTTCGCATTCTTGTGCCCACCAAATTCTCTCTTAATCACAGCAAACTTGTAGCCATTCTCAGATATTGAATTGGGTAGATTTCTGACGATATATAATAACATAATAATTAGTTTTCATTAAGATGGTCAATAGAAACAAATATTAATTTTATTTTCGAAATTCTCCGGTTATAATTATACCAGTATTAATTTGTTACAAATGACTGATAAGATTCTACATTATCAAATGCTACCGATTTCTGAATACGAGGATGATATTCTTACCGATAACGAAGCTGTTGCTATTAAATTATTCAATTATGACGAATTGATTTTTTTTTCATATGTATATATATATATATATATGTATATATGTGTGTGTAATG